GGAACTGGACAAATGATACCATTTGAGATCAATACAGTTAATTATGTTGGACAAGCTCTCAGGGCTAAATTCAGACAGCCTCACAAAGGAGTGTGAAACACTACAGCAGAAGGGCCAGCACGCCACTTGTATTTGGGGGATGGAAGCCACAGTAGGACATACTTCTACAGGAACCTCGGTCTTGACTCTACTGGGTGGGACACAGCAAAGGCTTGGTCTAGTAATAAGCTGGTGCAGGTCTATTTTTTTTAGTGAGACAGAGTCTGTTGCCCTGGGTAGAGTGTCATGGTGTCATAGCTCACAGCAACTTTCAACTCTTGGGTTCAAGCGATCCTCTTGCCTCAGTTTTTCTGTTTTAGTAGAGACAGGGTCTCACTTTTGCTCAGGCTGGTGTCAAACTTGTGAGCTCAGGCAATCCACCTGCCTCAGCCTCCCAGAGTGCTAGGATTACAGGTGTGAGCCACCTCGCCCAGCCATGCTGTAGGTCTTAATTCTAAAACCAGACCAAAGTCATCTTGAAGAAGTCCTGGCAAGTCATACTGAGCTCTGCAACCTTTCCTTCCTAAATTCTAGTAAGGCTTGCAAAACGTTTTAAACCTTACCATATTTAGAAGTCTGATATGGTGAGCAATATAGTGTATTAATTTGATAAGAACTGGTTTTGTGGTTTGTTTAGGGAGGGGAGACACAAGAAATGCCTGTTTCATATATTCTCTTGAATATTATCAACATGTAAATAAATAACAAAGACATATGACCCCCAGGTCAGGAAGTAGCCTCTAAGTGCTGGCCAGTCTTCTGCATTGCTGCGTGATGCCGGTGCCTGTACAGTTCTGCCTCTGAGGCTCGGGGCATCTGTTCCTGATGTTCTTGGCAATGACAATCAAAACAACTGAAGCTTCTCCTTAAGGGCAGGAACTGTCCATCAAAAAGACATAAATCTTCAACACGCATTCTAAGCGTGTTTCAAATACCTCTCAATGTGACCTGGCAAATAAACAAGACGGCTCCCTGTTTGGCTATTGGCTTTATTATCCTAATAGGCCAGGAGGAAAGATTTATGTAAGGGGATGGTTGTACATCTGTCTAGTCATCTTAGCTTGAAGGGCTTCCAGCAAAAGGTATATTCTAAAGATCTTAGAGAAGGGGCTCTAGTAGCTAGGAGGTTACAAGATCTTTTCATTAGATTTTGCATGGCGGAGTCCATAGCTCAGTGGGTAGGGTGCTGGCCATATACACCCAGGCTGCTGGGTTCGAAACCAGTCTCGGCCAGCTAAACAATGACAGATGCAACGAAAATATAGCTGGAGGCTTTGGCAGGCGCCTATAGATCCAACTACTTGGGAGGCTGAGGCAAGAGAATCGCTTAAGCCCAAGAGTTTGACTCTGTCTCCAAAAAAAAAAAAAAAAAAAAAAAGATTTTGCAGCATTTCCTCTGAAAGGCAAAGAAATAATACAGACCCTTTTACCTCAACAATATTTAATATTTATTATTGTTTCATCCTCTGTGTGTAGTACATAGGACGGCCAAAGAGATGTTTGTAAGAGATGAAGAAACTAAGGCAAGGCAATAAGAAGTCACTTTCCTTAGTTACAAGGAAAATGGTGAAATTATCTGGAACACAGGTGATCCAACTTTTAAACTTTACACTTTCAACACTTGCCTACACTGGCATGTGCTGTCTGAACAGCGAGCAGGTTCTTCAGCCCAATTAGCAGCCAGGATTAAAGTGCCACCACGGCTTGGGATACAGGGCATGGAGAGGTGGTTTTCTAGCTTTCAACTAGACTGTCTCCCTAACATAGAACCGTTGCTCAGGGAAAACAAGGTGCTATCTACCATTTTACAGATGTTTACATCTTAATAATATAAGTTCCCAATAATGTTGACAATTGAATCCCTAGTCCATATTCCTGCCCATACAATGTGTAGGGGTGGGGGTGGTGATATCAGTCTTCAGAATTAGAAATACAGCTGTTGGCAAAACCCTGTCCCCCAGGGGAGGGGGCACTGGGATAGAGTGAGCATCTTACACTGCAAAGGCTGGGTTTTCCTCTGCACTGTCTCAGTCCCCATAACCCTGAACCCGGCTGAGCACTGAGGTGCTCAGAGAAGGGATACGAGCCTCCTCCATGTTCGGTAACAGGAAAGACAGGCTTTCCTGTTCATTTCACTGCAGCAGCTTGTTTAGACAGAGACAAATCATCCCTTGGGAATGCGAAACAGGTTATTCAGTCTGAGCATTAACTTCCAATATTAACCAGGATCAACATAGCCATGATCACACACTCCAGCGACACTGAAAACAACAAAAAAAAATTCACTCTGGATTATGATGCCACAGAAATAAAGGGACACTCGTGTCTTTTTAATTTGGCAAGGAAGGTAACAGTAATTCTACACAATGGAGTTTGTAAATACAGAGAATGATACTTATTCTCCCCAGGAAAGGAAGACATCCGAATGGCAGCCTATATTTCAGGTAATGGCAACAGTTTGAACCAGCTTAGTATGTTGTACACATTAATTTGAGATTAAAGAACGGAAGCTTCTTAATAGCTCATTAGACTGATCTAATATAAAAATGCACAGATGCACGGCATTAAAACCCCCAAAGAGTCTCTGCATTTTAATGTGCTCACAGCCCAGAGGACAACTGAACTCCACCTATTTGTAAATACAGACAAAAGAATTGGGCTTTAGGTTACACCTTATACCTGTTTTCCCTGTACAAAGTGATATGGGTGGTAGTGCAAAGCACTCAATACATGTATACATTTCTTTGTAACTATACCTACTGTGAATGGCAAAGAGGCCCCTGCCCAACGTTTTTGAAACTTTTCTTTTTGAGACCGGATCTCACGCTATTGCTCTGGGTAGAGTGCTGTGACATCAGCCTACTCACAGCAACCTCAAACTGTTGGGCTCAAGCGATCCTCTTGCCTCAGCCTCCCAAACAGCTGGAAGTACAGGAGTCCCACACCACACCTGGATAATTTTTTCGAGTTTTAGTAAAGATGAGATCTCACTCTTGCTCAGGCTGGTCTCAAACTCCTGAGTTCAAGGGATGCTCCCTGTTTGACCTCCCAGAGTGCTAGGATTAGAGGTGAGTCACCATGCCTGGCTGCTGATTTTTAAACGTTTAAGAGCTCAGGAGTGGCCTGTGGATGCAGATTCAGGGGTCAGGGGCCTAAGCTCCTACATTTGTGCAAGTGTCAAAAGTGTCACAGTAATTGCTGCTGGATCAAAAACATTCTAAGTAGCATTGGCAAAACAGGTAAGTTGTCAAGGCAGGAGGAAGAAGACCGCAGAGGGTCTGGGCTGCTGGAGCATCACCAGCTCAGTCAGGCCTTCCCCAGCCCTGGGCAGAGTTATTAAAGGAGCAAGTACTGACACTGGCGGGACAGGGGGGGAAGTCTCAACCTGAAAGGCTATTGTTTTATACCTCTGCATAAAGAAAAAAATAACTAAATAACATTTTAAAATTGTTAACAGCCAACTGGGTACAGCTTTTGTTTCTTTGCAGCTAAATAAAAGGTGGAGATCTAAAAATGAGGATTACCCCAGGTGAGGGGCTCTTCTACAAATGGAACTTTACCCTGGAAGTGAGAATGATGTAACCTATAAATTGTACACTCATATGAATTGGAGAAAATAAAAAAAAAAAAACTTAAAATAAAAATAAGGATTAGCTATCTATTAGCTTTAACTTCATATCCTTTCTCTGTGCAGACCTCAAAGCCGCTGGTCCCTCAGTTGCTGCTCCTAGAAAGATTTTGGAAGGTGCTGTGTACACTTGTCACCTTCCCCCTCAGGCTCACTAAAGACCCCCTGCCTACTCAGAAGGTATGTTACAAAAGAGAAAGGGAAACACAAATACCAAGTTAGAATTTTACCAAACAGTCATAATTATTCTGATAAAAACAGCTATTCAACAGGGATGCTGTCAAGGTTACTGGTCCTCAAATCGAAATCTGCCTCCTCCATCCATTATGTAAGTTCACATCGTCATGAAAGGAAGAGGAAAAAAACAACATAAAACAAAATGAAAATGCCTGTAATCCTAGCATTCTGAGAGGCCAAGGTGGGTTGACTGCTTGAGCTCACAAGTTCAAGACCAGCCTGAGCCAAATCGAGATCCCCGTCTCTAAAAATAGCTGGGCGTTGTGGCGGGTGCCTATAGTTCCAGCTACTTGGGAGGCCCAGGCAAGAGAATTGCTTAAGCCCAAGAATTTGAGGTTGCTGTGAGCTGTGATGCTACTGCGCTCTACCAAGGGTGACACCGTGAGACTGTCTCAACAATAAAATGAAAACAAAAAAACAAAACACCCAACAAAGCCTAGCACAAACCTAAAGCCAGAAGGAAAATGTTAACAAGAGTGATCCCTAAGCTAGCATTTTGGCCACAAACATATACATACATATTCAACAAAGAAAACAATTTTTTTTTTTAAAAAAACCCTCCAGCCTTAAGTTCCATTTAAAAATCCTTCAATAAGGATTTTTTGCTAATAACAATAACCCTGAGTTGGATAAAAGAGCACAAAGTGATCTAAAAGATCCCCTTAGGGAAATTTGGGACGACACTTTCAAAAAGAGAAGCCAGATCAGAGAAACAGCAGACTTGGAGGAGGGGAAGAATGAATTTTATAAAAACTTCATGTTATCTAATTGTACTTGGATCCAATTTACTCTTCTGATAAGATGGTCTGATTTTTCAAATATGCAACATGTATTTCCCAGTTGTGAATAGCAAAACCGGAGGCGGCTGCTATCACGCATAATAAACATTCTCCATCTTTTCTGCAATGCATCAAACCAAAAAGCCTTTGAAGCCCAAAATGAGACATATGCCTTGTTTACTGCAGGAGATTCTCAGGTACCCTCCTTTCCCCAACAGTGAGAGACAGACCACAGGGCAGGCAGTGTGTAAGGCAGGGGCCGCTCCAGCTGACACGGTGAGGAGTCTAAATCTGAAGACACTTTTCCACACTTATGGCAAGTTCTTCACTTTCATGCTTTATTGAAAGTAGAATATATGAATCAAAGACAAGTATTGGTAAGCAGGTTATGTCTCTAAAGAATTATTTTTCATTCAGAGCAGAATGTTGTCTCATCTACTGTGATACAAATCCTTACGGACCAATGCATCTGGTATGAAACTCGAGCAAGGAAATAGAACAGAATTTTATTCCCTCCCATGACTATAAATCTCATATGTAAACATGATTTACTGTTACTGCTACTAAACTTGTTCAATCTTTACTTGCCCTCTCCCTCCCTCCACCCCTTAAATATAAAATTGGAAACATTTCCTTCAAGTCTGATGTCCTCAGTGCAATCTGCTTTATTTGACATAAGGCATTTGGGACAGTCACTTTTGAATGGATTTTTGCCTTTTGGAAGAGTCACGGTAATGGTTTAATCCTTAAATCCACCTTTTCTTTAATGCCCTAACATGTCAAACTCCTCTTCCCCTCCGGTCATTCCTTAGGAGTCAGCAAGTATTCACAGATTAATGTCCAAGTAGACCAGTACCTGAGAAGAGAAACACATGTGGAGGTACAGTTGTGAACTAAACGTTAAGAGTTTGTGGATTCCGTTAGCCAAGAACGAATCATCAACAGGGACTATCCAATTTAATATATGAACATAGCAACCCCTTGGCGGTGAAGGATAAGAAAAAATAACAGCACACATCATGCTTTCAGCTAAATCACATTTCTGTTGAAACCCATGTGTTTCCCATGAGTATCTTCAAACAAATTAATCAGATTTTATTGATGCTTTCATTTGTTGGTCATTTTTCATAAAGGGAAATCATTTCTTTTGACATCAGGAGTCCCTTTGTAGTGGTATCATGCAGACAACAAAACTACATTTAGAGGAAGACTTTATTTAGGCCAGTAGCTCTGCCATTCATTTGCTTTAGCAAAGAACACCTGCTGTTTGATTTGACCTCATTCCTTGGCAAAATCTTAACCTGCCATAGACCTCTGGAATCAACATGGCAACAGGTCAATCTGTAAATGTCAATGGTCTGTATTTGATGGATTAATGATTACTACTGGTGTGCACAGCTGCAGTGGCTCAGATGTTTCTACTTGAAATAATAATCCAACCAATGCCTTTATTTTAATTCAGGGGTGTCTAACCTGCAGCCCATAGGCAGCATGCTGATTTTTTGAGGCCTGTTTTGCTTATCTGTGGTTTTAGGTATTGGATATCTTTGGTTTTTACTGAGTGGCCCAAGGCAACTCTTATCCTTCAAATTTGCAGCAGAGGAAAAAAAAAAGGTTAGATAGCCTCGTTCCAAATAGATTAATTCAATCTTTTTCGCCGTACTTGATATAATTTGGCAAATTCTTGTACCACTAATTCTTACCACTTACATACAAACTGTCTTGTGCTAAGAGGGACTGAAAAGAGGAAGCGGGGAAAGTTAAATATAAGGCTTGAAATGCCACTGGCTAATTTCTCAACCTCTCAGAAATGAGAACAAGAAAACTGAATGGACATCTGGCAAAATAGAACACAGGCCCTATCTGAGGCCTTAGTGTTGAAAAAGATAATGAAGAAGCTTGAATTAAAAATGCATTTAACTAAAATTAATTTCAGTCATGAGACTCAGATTGAATTAAATTTTAAAATCAAATTATAGCCTTTGCTGTAACAGAAAATTACAGGATGAACAAAACATGACAAATGCAACTTACCTTTAAACCCTTCTTCTGGCATACAAACTGGAAAAAGAAAAAAAAAAAAAAAGAATTCCAAATTGAAAAGACAGTCCTGATAGTCATAAGATCACTGCCTAAAGACAATTAAGTTTAAAGTAATTTTTAATTACCTTAGTCACCTGTAACGATCACTTTTGAAGTTATGGATCTTATTAATCTGAGGAAAATCTTTGTTTATGTATTTTTTTAGAGCCAGGTCTGCCAACTAGGCTTGAATATATGGCATTATTATAGCTCCCAGAAACCTTGAACTCCTGGGCTCAAGCAATCCTCCCACCTCAGACTCCTGAGTGGCTGGGACTACAGGTGTGTATCACCACACCCAGGATAATGTCTTTTTTTTTTTAAGAGATGGGGATCTCACTATGTTGCCAAGGTTGGCTTTGAACTCCTGACCCCACATATAATTTTTCTTTTGTTTCCTGGAGACAGTCTCACTCTGTTGTCCTGGGAGGAGTGCTGTGGCATCACAGCTCACAGCAACCTCAAACTCTTAGGGTCAAGTGATCCTCTTGCCTCAGCCTCCCAAGTAGCTGATACTACAGGCGCCTGCCACAATGCCTGGCTCTATTTGGAGATGGGGTCTCATGCTTGCTCAAGCTGTTTGGAACTCGAGCTCAAGCAATCCACCTGCTTTGGCCTCTCAGAGTGCTAGGATTACAGGCGTGAGCCACTGTGTCTGGCCTCTCAAATGTAAGTTCTTAAAGAAATGCACACCTCTGCGAGATGGCTGTCATCACATCCACTTTTCCCTGTGGGCATCCTTTCCTAAAAAGCCTGCATCCCACCAGACCAATCTGGACCACCTGTCCATACTACCTGTTGCAGAAGGTCTGCTGTGGAATTTTCTTTCACCATCTTGTAAGGTATCTTATTCCATGCTGGATCTCCTGTTTACCATCTTTCTGACTCATTATCCTCTGAATATGATTGGCTCTCTCTCCATACCGCTACATGCCTTCAGGCTCCTCTTGTTCTGAATTTTATGCTTATTCCATCAGATCCCTGGTGCAATCATTTTCTTTTTTTTTTTTTTTAAGAGACAGAGTCTTGTTTTGTTGTCCTCGGTAGAGTGCTGTAGCATCACAGCTCACAGCAACCTCCAGCTCTTGGGCTTAGGTGATTCTCTTGCCTCAACCTCCTGAGTAGCTAGGACTACAGGTGCCCACCACAACCCCTGGCTATTTTTTGTTGCAGTTTGGCCAGGGCTGGGTTCAAACCTGCCACCCTCGGTATATGGAGCTGGTGCCCTACTCACTGAGCCACAGGCGTCGCCCGCAATCAGTTTTTATTTTCATGAATTCTTTTCTATTCTTCAAATATTCCTTTTCTATAGGCCCTCGATATTCTTTGCTCTTCTTTTTATAAATAAAAAATTATTTACAGGTAATTTTTAAGCTTTGTTATGCTTTCTATGCCATTTCTTCTGGTTTCCTTTTCAGTTTCATGATTGACATCTCTTGGTTCTGTGCTCTCATTTCTCAACTGTCTTGTGACCTCTGGCTGCCCACTTTTACCCTATTTAAGTGTAAGGTGCTAAAAAGATGTCTGAAAGCTCTGTTCAGTGGGTTTCACTGAAGGGTGCCTGGGAAATGAACATGCTTAAAAAATTAATGCGTAATATCTGGACATGTTTTTTGGGGCACAAATGATATTTTCATACAGGCATACGATGTGTAATGATCAGATTGGGGTGTTTAGGATACCCATCACCTCAAACACTTCTCATTTCTTTGTGTTGGTGCCATTTCATATCTTCTAGTCATTTTGAAATATATTGTTAACTACAGTCACCTACTGTACTACTGAACACCAGAACTTACTCCTTCTACCTAACTGTACTTATGCACCCATTAACCATCCTTTGTTCATCCTCTTCTGCCCCAGCCTCTCCTAACTATCATTCTATTCTCTATTTCCGTGAAATCAGCTTTTGGAGCTTCCACATGAGTGAAAAACATGGTATCTTGTCTTTCTGTGCCTGAATTATCTCACTTAACACAATGACCTCCAGTTCCATTTATGTTGCTGTAAAGGACAGGATTTTATTTTCAGTGGCAGAATAGTATTCCACTGTGTATATACAAGACATTTTCTTTACTGATTCATCTATTGACTTGATTCTGTATCTTAGTTATTATGAATAGTGCTGTAATAAACATGGGGGAGAACGTATCCCTTTGATATATTGATTTGCGCTCCTTTGGATACCCAGTAGTATGATCGCTCATTTGTATAGCAATTCTATTTCTAATTTTTTGAGAAACTTTCATACTGTTTTCCACATGGCTGGACTAATTTACAATCCCACCAACAGCATATAAGATTTCCCTTTTCAGTGTGGCACCTGTAGCACAGTGCTTATGGCACCAGCCATATATATATGGAGGCTGGCAGGTTCGAACTCAGCTCCAACCAGCTAAACAACAATGGCAACTGCAACAACAACAAAATAGCCAGGCGTTGTGGCTGGCACCTATAGTCCCAGTTACCTGGGAGGCTGAGGCAAGAGAATCACTTGAGCCCAAGAACTGGAGGTTGCTGTGAGCTGTGACACCACAGCACTCAACCAAGGGTGACATAGTGCGACTCTGTCACAAAAAAAAGTTCCCCTTTTCACTGCATTTTAACCAACATTTGTATTTTTTTGTCTTTTTAATAATACCTATTCCAACTGAGATAACATGTTATCTCACTGTGCTTTTGATTTTTATTTCCCTGATGATTGACGATATTGAGCACTTTTCACATACCTGTTGACAATTTGTATGTCTTCTTTAGAGAAATGATTCAGATCCTCTGCCTACTTTTGAATGGAATTTTTTGTTGAGTTCCTTGCATATTCTAGATATTAGTCCCTTGTCAAATGGATAGTTTGCAAATGTTTTCTCCTGGGTTGTCTCTTCACTCTGCTGATTCCTTCACTGTGCAGAAGCTTTTTAGTTTAATATAGTCCCATTTGTTTTTGGCTTTGTAGTCTGTGCTTCTGAGATCTTAGCCATAAAATACTTGCATAGATAAATGTCCTGAAGCATTTCCCTTGCTTTCTTCCAGTAGTTTTATAGCTTCAGGTCTTACACTGAAGTCTTTATGTTTTGAGTTGATTTTTGCAGTTTTTGGCTGGGGCTGGGTTTGAACTCACAACCTTCGGTATTTGGGGCTGGTACCCTATTCCTTGGAGCCACAGGCACCACCCTTGAGTTTGTTTTTGTATACAGTGAGAGACAGGAATCCAGTTTTATTCTTCTGCAAGTGGATATCCAGTTTTCCTAGCACCTTTTTTTTTTTTTTTTTTTTTTGCCCCAGAGCCTCAAGCTATCCCCCTGGGTAGAGTGCCATGGCATCAGGCTCACGCTCACAGCAACCTCCAACTCCTGGGCTCAAGC